TAAGATTAGTAGCGATCAAAAGCGCTTTCTTATCGCATTAAGCCTATACCCCCTTTCATTTTTCGCGAACACTCCCTTTAAAAGTTTTGTTTATAAAACACAATGAGAAAATTCACAGAAATAAAAACTTATTCGAGTCCGAAAAACAACGTTTTTTCCTCAGTTTAAATCAGATAAAGGTTTCAAGGGTACCGTTACTCTATTTGAATATTACAATTCATTTTAAGAACTTTTTTAAAATGACAAAAGTGTGACAGTTGTAAAAAAGATCTTACATATGCAGCAGATTCCAAACCCAGCAGCACAGCTTATAGAGGCACTTCCACCTACGGATATTGATCAATATTTTGATCTAGATTTCCACAAATATTATTTTCAAACTTTTAAAGAAATTGCCTTTTCTAATCAATTAACAGGATTGGAAAAAAAGAAGACAAACAAAACTATTTACATTTCCCTTGGAATGCTTATCCCAAAACAAAAAGCCCAAGTGTTAATGGGTGGTCGAACAAACTGGTTTAAGGGAACTAAATAGAATTTTTTCCAGACATTCAACTTTAATCAATCTTTCAGGTTAATGTCTGACAAATCGCCACGAAGCTACACTTCAGAATAGAAGGAGCTTATGTCGTCACTTGATCTTTACCTTTAGCTGTACACTCAGATTCAGTGTAGCAGGTTCCATTGAGGCCTCCAGACCCAAGACAGTTGGCATTAGGGAACCTGACCACTTGGAACACGCCTGCAAACTTGCCTTGACGATCTAAAAATTATTATATTTAAAGCACTCTTAGGTACTAGGACAAACATTGGACAAGCACCTTTAGGACAGACAAATATAGTACAAACACACATGGTACTAGGACAAACGTTAGACAAGCAAATATAGGACGGACAAATACAGTACAAACACACTTGGTACCAAATAGGTTGTCAAGTACAATAGATGGCAACAGAAAAATCGACCAACTGCGCACAACGTCATATGTGTCAAATGAAAAAAGAAAGACGACATGTCCTGTAATTAGTTAGTATGATTTCCAAGATTAGGTGAAGATAAATGTCGTCTTTGTAGGAATACGCAAAAAATATTTACAACTCAAAATTAGATAGGGTATTTTTACTGTCATTTGGTGGCTTAATTTTTTTTTCACTGTATATCTATGTGAACTTAATAGTCTGAGGGAGGGGGGGGGGCGTCCAGGCCCCAGCCCTCTAAGTAGCATTAAAGTAATTATTTCTATGGTTATTAAAGGTTTACTGTCCAATCTCTAAAGCCAGATAATTTTTTAAAAAATTTAGACTTCTAATTTTTTGAAACACTCATCCTGTATACGAATTTTACAAAAAATCATTTGGATTACCTTGTTTTAAAAGTGACGAAGTTTTGGTGGGTTAAACAATGACTGAAGTATACAAATTATATCATCATACACAACAACAACAAAAAACAATAATATAAATACAAAAATATTTTTAACTATTTATTTAAACATAAATTGGCCTTTTTGTTTTAAATTTTGTATCATGTGATGACCTTGTTTGTTTACTAAAACATTTAGATGCCTTATTCTTTGGAATTTTACAAAAAGGTTGATAATGGAGATCTTGGTTCTTTTACAGTTATTGATGGGATTGCAGAGGATCAGAGAAATTTCCTTGCAGGGTAGATTTCTGGAAGTTTCGAAAAAGTGCTCAAATTTGGCATAAAATCAGACTTAGCAAAGTGAAGAGCATACACTCGGCTAGCTCCGATTTCATTAGTGTCGTTAATTTTCAAAGAATTCAGCCACAATTCCTGCTTCTTTTTGTTCTTTGGAAATTTAAATCTGGATGTCCCAGGGGGTGGACGGCATCCAGGCACAAAACAAGTTCTTCGCCTGCCCCCTAAATGAAAAAATATAATTAATAAAGACCAAAAATATCATTTAATTCATAATAATGTAATGTTGACTTAGTATATGTTCATAGTATACCTTNTTAAAAAAAAATAAAAAAAATATGTAGTTATTGCGAAATTTAAATATAATATACATGTTATCTCACAAAAAACTTTGCAGATCCAACATTTTGGCTGCAACAGATAACTTACATAAAATGTACGAAAATTTGTGAATTTTTTGGTTATTTATGAACAAATGAATCAAAATCAAAATCAAAATTTGAAAAATCTGGGAAATCGATTTTTTGGCTCATGCTCCATAATTAAAGAAGTGATTGTAACATAAAAAGAATGCCTGGAAATAACTGAAATATCAAGATTTCTAATGTTAACATGATTGTGAACATTTAATCAAAATTGTTGCCTCAGTACCCAATACCCCTACTCCAAATTTTTGTTTGGGACACCCTGCTTATAATATATATCTACATAGACTTTCCAATAATTTCATATTTTGAAAAATTTTATATATTTCGTACGTGTTCCCAAAAATAGTAAAATACGACATTTGAGAAAAAATTAAATATCCTTAGAAGACAACATTTCATTAGAAAATTACCGTTTCTTGTTGCCTGTATTTCCCCTGGATCTGGGGGTTTATCCTCGATTAGACCTTTCCAGAGCACTTCTCCAAAGATATCATTAAACATTTCTGAAATATGTTTTAACGTTATACTTTCGAATTACAATGTTAAAGGGTTATGTAAAATATCAGTTTCAACCCTGTTATTTAGTCAATAGAACGTTAGATGAAAAAGTGTAAAAACAGAAATAAAGAACACATAAAATTGCACTAATTTTACTAAAAGATAAGCACTTTAGTCTAAAAATATCACTTTTATTTATAGTTTTGTCAGACAGAAAATTTGAGTTGACACTTATGACGTTTAAACAGCTGTACTGAAAGTGTACGCATTCTGTGTTGCCGTCTATTGTACAGGGTGTCCCACATCATATTAGACCGAGAACGGGTTTAAATTACGATTTTCGGGACTAATTAGAAAATTTCATTAGAATGAATCATTTTGAAAAATAACATAAGGGTTATATAAGAATTTTCTTGCGCAAAAAGATAAGTTTTTCGAGTATTAAGGGTTTATTTTGGTGTTAAAGATTGGAGATAATCTAATATGATATGGGACGCTCTGTACTTGACAACATATTTGCATGGTACTACAGGGTGTCCCACATCAAATTAGACCGCGTCAATGGGTCTATATTACGATTTGGGGGACAAATCAGAAAATTTAAAAAGAATGAATCATTTTGAAAAATTTAATAAGGCTAATAGAATTTATTTTTGCAGAAAATGCTAGATTTTTCGAGTATTATGTGCGTATATTTAGGTGTTAAAGATTGGAGATAATCTAATACGATATGGGACGCTCTGTAGGTCAAACGTTAGGCAAGCAAATATAGGACGGACAAATATAGTACAAACACACATGGTACTACTACTAGGTCAAACGTTAGGCAAGCAAATATAGGACTGACAAATATAGAACAAACACACATGTTAAACATGTTCTCTTTGTATACATTGCACGGGCAGCCGTAGCACATTTGAATTTCCAAGCCGGGTCAACCTTTCCGGTCCCAGTTTGTATTGTATCGCCTGGGGACATTGGGTAAATAAAGCACACACTCAATAGGACTAGCCGGTGCAACAAGGTTGACGCGGTCAGAATATAGGTTGAGTTTACTTTTACTAGAGGGTCAGAGGTGCGTAAAATAGAACAAACAAAAATTTTGCAGATTTTATAAATATAAATTTGTGGATTTTCAAAAGTCGAATCTTGTTTACCAAAAAATTGCTTCTATAAAACCAAGATTTCGCTATTACCCCTTTTTTACTCACACTGTATAAAGATGAATAATGTGATTGTCGTCTTCACAATTATATATTTTTTTTCAGAAAGACTTACCAGAAAGCCTTACTAATTACCATTACCATCGATTAATTTATTTATTTCGCAATAATCTTAACATAATCTTATCATGACCTGGCCATCTATATCTGTCTGGATGCTTGTTTGTTTGTTTGTTTCCAATAAACCTCAAAACGGCTGAACCGATTGGGCCCAAATTTTGTGGGGGACCTCACATAACCCCAGCCGGGTAAAGTTTTTTTTTGTGATCAAAATTTCAATAATTTTCAAAATCCACTAAATTTTTTCAAAATTTTCCGAACTTTTTGTTTGTTTTTGTTTTACAATTTGTATATTAAGAGTAAATTCTCACAATTGAAATAGAAGAAATTGAAATAGTGTAAGCTAGAAAAACAAATGTTTATAGTATAAAAAACATTTGCTTTTATGAAAAAATTTTACCGTGAAAGCATAGATATACAATATTAAGATATACAGCTAGATTGACCCCGAGAAGTAAATAGTATTCGCAATGACCTATGACGAGTTCATGATGTACAAGTGGTTGAAAAATTTTTAACTTTACAGTCTGCATTAGTGATCTATATTCTTGTATATCTATAGCGTGAAAGAAACGAACCAACTGATGACACAGCACTGACTGTGAATCTTGTACTTATAGATTACCTTTTTACCAGGTTCATTCATCTCTACACCATGCAAACCTAAAATATTATTAAACTGTATTTAATAGCATGAGTATATTTGTTCAGGGAGACTCTAATGACGACCTAAAACTCATGATACTATACTGATCTGACGGTAAGTTTGGTTTAATGCCTTAAATATTGTCTTTTAGTGATTTGCTTAAACATTGCCAATAAAAGGAAACAAGTTTAAATAGCAGAAACCAAGGGTAAAAGAAAAAGCTCTGCTAGAAGTTTGTACAGTCGTTTCTGAATTTTGATCCCTTGAGGGTAACCCTGAATAAATTATTGTTTTCTTAACTACCTTTATAAATAATTTTGCTGTAATCTGTAATCCTTACTCCCAAACTAACCCAATCCCGAAATTTTTCATTATTTCGCGAAAAAAACGAAAAATGTCGCATTTTTTCGCGAAACTGTTTTTCCATTTCGCTGAAAACACTAGTCCCAACCATTTCTCCCAACTTGACTCTAGGTTACCTTTCAGGAAGAAGAAAAAAAGACTCAGGAAAACTAGGCCCATCATAGTAATAGAACTATAAATATAATAAACGTGTATGAGGGATTAATTAAATTACATCTTGTATTATACAGGGTGTTTAACTCTTTAACAAAATCTTTTACTTAAATATGTTTTTTACTTTAAAATAAATTTTGCTTTAATATGACTGCTATGTGATAATTTTTATTATTCTCTTTGGCATCAAATAATTTAACAAAATATGGTAGAAGACATTTTATACTATTCACCAACTGTCATGTTTCGTGGGACACCCTACATACTTCATTGTTGAAGGAACACAGTGGAATGATTGTCGTCTTATTTATTTTTCTAATTACGAAATATAACTATGATTGTGCAGCTTCTGAAGGATTTTCTTCTCTTAAATATTTTCAAATAAAAATTGCTAAATACACAATTCTTAACAAAGTTTCATGTCAGAAGAAAGCGCAAAAACGACCACCATTCAACAATTATATTGTTAAATACAGGGTGTCCCTTGAAACATTGATTTATTATTTTAAATAATTTGCGTCATTCGTTCCTCAAGCTAATTCTAGAAGTATAGCAAAGTGTTGCCTGCCTTTTGTGCTTTTCATTTTGGTTTATTTTGATAAATCGAATGTTTTATCTCTGGCAGCACAAAAAAACGATAACATTTAGGAAATGAAAGAAAGGACATTGTTATTATTGTTTTCGGAATCCTACTTGTAAACGTAGATTGAGTATTCACAAATTCCGAATGCTGTTTATTACAGTTTAGTTTAGTTTAGTTTAGTTTAGTTTAGTTTAGTTTAGTTTAGTTTAGTTTAGTTTAGTTTAGTTTAGTTTAGTTTAGTTTAGTTTAGTTTAGTTTAGTTTAGTTTAGTTTAGTTTAGTTTAGTTTAGTTTAGTTTAGTTTAGTTTAGTTTAGTTTAGTTTAGTTTAGTTTAGATTAGTTTGTATGTCTACCTGTAAGAGAATTTAGGACTAGACTGATATATTATTTTTCTATGCGATGCAAGGAAGTTTTGGTTGAGAAATTATTACTACGCGGTGCAAGGGAAATGGACATAAATAGATAAAATCTTCATGCTAATTTAAAACTTTTCAGAATTTATTAAAATGGTCATTGCCCTCTATCAAGGATTTATTAAAATGGTCATTGCCCTCTTTCCAGGATTTATTTAAATGGTCAATGCCCTCATATGCTGTAAAGTAATCAAGGAATTAAATCTAAAAATAAACACCTGATGTCAAAGCACGTACCCCAATGTTTAAAACCACCTAAGTCTCATAACACCAAATATATCAAACACCTAAATTTCAAAACACCCAATAATAAAAGTGCTCTTACGAGTCAACAACGATTCACTTTAATTAATAATCTTGCTGATTTTCAGCCTGTTCAAAATTTCAAAAATGGAAAATATTAGAGAATACAAAGAGTGTTTCAAAAACTACTTTTCTGAATTTTCGATGAAAATTTTGCATTTTTTCGTATTTCGTTCGCTCGCGAAAAACGCAAAAATTTTAGCCTTTTTTCCTGAAATTTCGCTTCAATCTGTTTTGCAAAAATTTGGCAAAAAATGCAAAATAATTATGCGAAAATTATGCGAAAAAATACGGTCGATTTGAAAGATTCCTTGACTGGGTCTTGGCTAACTGGATTTGGATGAACGTACGTGGACGGACAGAAACCCAGAAGATTGCTAGAGAAATCAAATTCTCTTCATCAAACATTTATTAAAGTACAGGAAGAGAAATTATCAAATGTTGAGCTCTAAGAGGAGAGAAGTTTTCTTACCCAATTAATTATTTTAGCTACATTACTTCTGGTTTTCGCGGAATTTTTTTTTTCGCAAAAATATTTTGTGAAATTTTCGCGAAATTTCGTATCGTTTTCGCATTTTTTCGCTTCATTCATTTTCGCGAAAAAAATGCGAAATGTGAACGAAAATTTTCCCATTTTTTGCGAAACGTTTCGTTCGCTGGAAACCCTTTGAGTCAGAAATCAGATTTCCAGACAAAAATGAAAATAGCTTCGCCGTTCATGTGCACAGGGCACACCTGTTAAAATACATAACAGTGGTTGCGCTATCAATAAAATTTATGGATTCCATTCGCAAATTTTGTTTCTTGCAATTTTGCGGAACAAATTCTCATATTTTAGGTGTAATTAATAATGTGTAAATAATGTATAAATTTTAAAAATTAGTTATTTACGAGATTGTACTTTTTGCTTAAAATCTTAAAATTAATTTCAAAGTAAATATATTTGAGCAAAAGATTTTTTAAGCGAAATAAACTGCAAACATCCTTTAATATCTACAGGGTGTTCCAATAAACATGGGAATTCAGTGACAAATTCGATATCGCCTTTTTAAATAATTCCTGTATTTAGTATAGTGATACCTACTGAGAAAGCTGTATAATTTGTAATAGTTTCGTCTGCTACAGGGTGTCCCACATCAAATTAGACCGCGTCAATGGGTCTAAATTACGATTTGGGGGACAAATCAGAAAATTTAAAAAGAATGAATCATTTTGAAAAATTTAATAAGGCTAATAGAATTTATTTTTGCAGAAAATGCTAGATTTTTCGAGTATTATGTGCGTATATTTAGGTGTTAAAGATTGGAGATAATCTAATACGATATGGGACGCTCTGTAGGTCAAACGTTAGGCAAGCAAATATAGGACGGACAAATATAGTACAAACACACATGGTACTACTACTAGGTCAAACGTTAGGCAAGCAAATATAGGACTGACAAATATAGAACAAACACACATGTTAAACATGTTCTCTTTGTATACATTGCACGGGCAGCCGTAGCACATTTGAATTTCCAAGCCGGGTCAACCTTTCCGGTCCCAGTTTGTATTGTATCGCCTGGGGACATTGGGTAAATAAAGCACACACTCAATAGGACTAGCCGGTGCAACAAGGTTGACGCGGTCAGAATATAGGTTGAGTTTACTTTTACTAGAGGGTCAGAGGTGCGTAAAATAGAACAAACAAAAATTTTGCAGATTTTATAAATATAAATTTGTGGATTTTCAAAAGTCGAATCTTGTTTACCAAAAAATTGCTTCTATAAAACCAAGATTTCGCTATTACCCCTTTTTTACTCACACTGTATAAAGATGAATAATGTGATTGTCGTCTTCACAATTATATATTTTTTTTCAGAAAGACTTACCAGAAAGCCTTACTAATTACCATTACCATCGATTAATTTATTTATTTCGCAATAATCTTAACATAATCTTATCATGACCTGGCCATCTATATCTGTCTGGATGCTTGTTTGTTTGTTTGTTTCCAATAAACCTCAAAACGGCTGAACCGATTGGGCCCAAATTTTGTGGGGGACCTCACATAACCCCAGCCGGGTAAAGTTTTTTTTTGTGATCAAAATTTCAATAATTTTCAAAATCCACTAAATTTTTTCAAAATTTTCCGAACTTTTTGTTTGTTTTTGTTTTACAATTTGTATATTAAGAGTAAATTCTCACAATTGAAATAGAAGAAATTGAAATAGTGTAAGCTAGAAAAACAAATGTTTATAGTATAAAAAACATTTGCTTTTATGAAAAAATTTTACCGTGAAAGCATAGATATACAATATTAAGATATACAGCTAGATTGACCCCGAGAAGTAAATAGTATTCGCAATGACCTATGACGAGTTCATGATGTACAAGTGGTTGAAAAATTTTTAACTTTACAGTCTGCATTAGTGATCTATATTCTTGTATATCTATAGCGTGAAAGAAACGAACCAACTGATGACACAGCACTGACTGTGAATCTTGTACTTATAGATTACCTTTTTACCAGGTTCATTCATCTCTACACCATGCAAACCTAAAATATTATTAAACTGTATTTA